TTTATTTTTGTGTATGGTGTAAGTTGGTGGTCTAGTTTCATTTTTTTGCATATATCTGTCCAATTTTACCAACACCATTTATTGAAGAGACTGTCTTGACTCCATTGTATGTTCTTGCCTCCTTTGTCAAATATTAATTGAGCATATTGGTTCGGGTCGATTTCTGGGCTCTCTATTCTATTCCATTGATCTATATGTCTGTTCTTGTGCCAGTACCAGGCAGTTTTGAGAACAGTGGCTTTGTAATACAGTTTGATATCTGGTATTGAGATCCCACCTACTTTCTTCTTTCTCAGGATCGCTGCAGCTATTCAGGGTCTTTTTTTTATTCAAGATGAATTTTTGGAACGTTCGTTCTAGGTCTGTGAAATATGTCATTGGTATTTTAATGGGGAGTGCGCTGAATTTATAGATTGCTTTGGGTAGTATGGACATTTTGATGATGTTGATTCTACCAATCCATGAACATGGTATATTCTTCCATCTGTTTATGTCTTCCTCTATCTCTTTTTTCAACGTACCGTAGTTTTCTAAGTGGAGGTCTTTTACCTCTTTAGTTAAGTTTATTCCTAAGTATCTTAATTTTTTTGGTGTGATGGTAAATGGGATTCCTTTTTTAGTCTCTCTGTATGTTCAATATTGGTGTATAGAAATGCCATAGATTTCTTGGCATTAATTTTGTATCCTGCTACATTGCCAAATTCATTTATTAAGTCTAATAGTTTTTTGATGGAGTCTTTAGGGTTTTTTATGTACAATATCATGTAGGAAAGCAGATATTAATGAATCTTTACTGAATATTCTATGGAGAGGAAAATGAGGGGGCTCATACTGCAAATCACACAGTAGAAGTTAATGTAAATTTCCACTGGGCATCCCCCAACCTGTGCACTAACATTTTCTCTTTGGTGGCAGCCCCCTCATCGCCCTCTCTGCCCTTCTCCCTCCAATTGCACTGGCTCTAGGCTTTCCTGGGTCCTACATCTAACTCTAGCACCCCCACCTGCTATCTCATGTAGGGAAAGGTAACTCCCTTTTGACAACCTCTCTCTATGTCTTCATATGCATTATCCTGCTCAGCAGACAAAGGTACCTCCTTAAGATTTTCTCTCCTTCCAATGTGACAGGGAATTTTTAGTAAATGATAAAATTTTTTCACTATTCCAAATATTTTTTTCCTTGTCATTCATTCATTCAATAAGTGTGCATAGTAGAGTACATCTGGCAACAGCTGTGACCATGCTCATTATAAAAAAAAAGTCATCCAAACTGTCCATGGTGGGGGTGTGGTGGGACACAGTGGGGAATATGATAGAGTTCACAGCCACTTGGAGATTCAGAGTTATGAGATCATAAAACTAAAAAGTGACTTTAAAAATTGATGGCAGGCATTCCCATCTGGGCCTCAGCATTGTTTCCTTCAGTCAGGGAAAATAGGAATCAGGCTAAAGATGTGGACATGGCTCTTGAACCCAGCAAGAACCTGATAAGCATCAATCAACAGGGAGGCACTGACCTCTTTGTCGTGCAGGATTTGTAGCAGGGAGGGCAAAGGCCTGAGAGGTTAATGATCTGAGGGGCTTTGCTAACATACATAAACTAAAGACCTAACAGAAGTGGTGGTGTTAACTGTCAATGGTGAGTACAAATCTTCATCCAAATGCTTATTGGGGGAGGCAGTGCAGTGTTGGCCAGGACTTTCATCTCAGGGGTTGTGCTTGTGTCGGTCCAGGCATGGCAAGAGGGAGAGAAACACACAGCTGTCTATCAGCTGAGGGCTACCATGGTAGACTTGTCCAACTTCCTCTCCTATAGAATTATGGCAATGTCTCTAGGTTCCCTGGCAGGCCATGCTATTTTCAAAACTGCCTGGAGGACCTCAGGAATCTTGTTGGGCTGTGGTTCTTTGGGGGAGGCAACAAAGGGCCTATTAATTTAACTTTCCCAGTGGGTGCCAACAGGGTCACCTACCAGCCATGCTCACCACTGACTGGTAGAAAGTGGTCAGAAGATAACATGGAAATGATACCCAGAACCTCAAAGGGCTACTCATATACACTAACATCTTGCCACAGGCAGCCCAGCTGTGCTGTTGAAAGTAGGGCTATTGGACCTGGATGATGATGATGATGATGATGATGATGACAATGATGATGACAATCATTTATTGAGGTCTGTCTTGTGCCAAGCACTAAGCTGAGTGCTTTATAAACATTCCCATCATGTGCTCAGGATAACCCTGAGAGGCAGGTGTCATTTTCCTGTTTATATAACTTCACTACTTATATTCTGCATTTGATCTCAAATATATCTGATGCTAAAATCTGCACCTATAGCCATCACTGTAGCCAAACAAAACAAGCAAATAATCTCTCCTGTTAACATATAGCGGGGCCACAGATAGTGTGACGGGGTGCTCTGTAGGCTCAGCATGGCCTGCAGGGCCTCGAGGACTGTTCATTAACATAAGTGAACTAAAGTAGGTCTCAGGATGAAGGAGAGCATAGGGAGTGAACTCGTTTTCAGTATTGCTGGGTTTATAGGAATGACACCATGTTTCTCGGGGCTCTGGGGGACTAAGACAAGTGAATAATTCTCATTTCCTTAGGCCCTTTCAACCTTAGAGAGAAATCAAGGCAGGCTCACACTTGTGATAGCAGTGCTATGGAGTCTTTAAATGTTTCCATTCTTAAGTCCCGGGTCTTTGGGGGCTTGTGTCTGCCTGTGACAGTGTCCTTAGCAGAGGTTCATACTTAGACCAATGCCGATGCTCTTGGGTATCACCTTCTAATATGCAAGATGGTGTTCTAGGTTTGCAAATAAATGAGGGGCTCACTGTGCTGTGTGGGAAAACAGACATGGAAATGTAGCATTCTTCTCCCTAGGATCCCCTGCTAGGATGCGTGGGGAGATGATACCTTGTCACTCACAGAGTAAATCTGGAAGAGACTTAGCAGTTTTCAAAAGGCTTTCAATAGAGACCTTGCTAAATGCAGCTCTTTGAAGGAGGTGATGAAGTCTTCATTCATCCTGGCATGGTGCCTGGCACACAGCTGGTGCTCAATGAATGTGAACTGAACAGTGACAAATAGTTTTAGGTGCATGATGTTAGGCTGGGGGAGGAGAGTGAGGACGTGAAAGAGGATGCGTGATGTAAACATTAATCAATCAAAGATCCTGATTTCAAAGTGTGGGGTAGTAAAAACTGTCTTTGGGGGCAGGCAGATCTGAGTTCAAATCTTAACTCTGTCACTTTCTGGCTGTGTGATCTTGAGCAAGTCTCTAATCTCTCTCAGCCTCAGTTCCCTTCATCCAAAAAAGTGAGACACAAAACCTCCCTCACATAGGTAGGGGAGGATGAAATGAAATGGGAATCACACACACCCATGTGCAATGCCCCCTGCAGAGCAGCTTGCAGCAGACCCTCTGGTGTGGCATGTACATCCCCTTGGCCACCCTGGAGGTCACTGCAGCTCTCTGTCTGCAGGAGTTCTCTTCATAGGAGAAGCTGGAAGTGCCATGGAGTCAAATCCAGCAGTTAACTTCAACCAGTGGAGGATTTACTCCTGCTTGTTCACCCCTCTGAGTAATGATTCTTAATTGTTCTTTACACAGTCTTTTAGAAGGTTCCTAGTGGAACTGAGTCCCAGTTTTCTGAAGCATTAACCTATTCACAAATTCATCCGTTTTCTTCCATCCCCTTGCTGTCTCACCACCCTACACCCTTACCAAGCTTCCTGAGGAACCCCCCAAATAAACTACTTACTCCAGAATTCCTCACTTAGAAGGTAATCCAAACTAAGACACAGAAAATCAATGAAACCTACTATTACTGTGATTTTTCATAGGGCATGGATGTGGGTAATTAATACAGATAAATGTAAAATATTATTTAAACACACACACCAAGGGATTTTTATTACCAGCTGAAGGCATATGGGGAAGTTTGGGGAAGGAGATTATGTATAACATTCGATCTGGATGTTAAAAGATGGGAAGGATTTGTACATGAGAGGATGGGTCAGAGAAAGGCACTTCAGTGGAGAAGAACAGGGTCTTGTGTCCACTTCTCTAAAGATGCCTACAAAATCCATGTGTGAGTCAGGTGGGCAGACAAGTCAGGCAGGTCCACACACCAGTCTCATCTGGACACAGAACTCCCTGGCCACATGGCCCTGGCACTCTGGCCCTGTGCTCAGCACACTTTTAGGCTGTACTCATCGGTGCACATGACACATGGTTAGTGCTTTCTTTCTGCCCCTGAAGTATGGCTCTGAAATCTCTTCTTTGTTCAGCTATTTGTCACCATCTGTGGAGACCTCACTAAGCACTCTGCACAGCTGTTCACTGGAGCATACCATGGGTCTCAAGTCTTCTGAAGGCATCAATAATGTTTCTGCTCAGTGTTCCTCAGGGTCCTTCTGGGAATATCACCTGGCTTCTCTGCTTGGACCTGATAAAACACATGGGCACCATGACCCCCAAATTTGAGACATTAGTCTTAGATTGTGTTTGTTTTACTTATCTGATGATCTTTCATTATTTGAATGAGTGGACTATAGATGTTTCATCCTATGGAGAGGACATATAGTTGAAGGCTTTCCTGCTAAAAATGGTGGAGGAGAGAAAGAGGAACAATGCCATGCTGCTCAAGATAAATCTTTGCCACCTCTTTACTCTAGTTCAGGGTTGAATAAGCTTTTCTGGTCAGGAATTTGTGTTCAGGTAAAATCTCACAGAAGTGCAAATTATACAAGTAAAAGCTGGATTCCCTTGGTGAGTCAAGGTGGTAGGAGGAAGTTCTGCTTGCCCATACCCTCTTTGAGGAACACAGTGTGAAACCATTGCTTGAGTGGATAAGAGGAGAGAAGTGCCAGAGAGCTGAATCTCTTGGTTTTTCCTCCGAAGAAGTAAGCTGAGAGACTGGCTCATGTCACAGGGTCAAAATTCAGAGAGGTGAGAAATCTCTCCATCTTATCAGCTTTGCTCTTCTCTTTCAGAGGTTCCAAAAACAGAACAGACTTTTGAAGAACGCCTGATACTGAAAGCTTTCTTGCTAAAGTTTGTCAATGCCTACTCGCCCATCTTCTATGTGGCCTTTTTCAAAGGGAGGTGAGTGTGTTGGCGTCATATATGGAAGAGAAATTGGTCACTAAGTCTGGGTCCTCCACTGGAGTCAGCCTGTTCCCATTGTCAATTCACATCCCCATTCCCCATCTCCACCCCTACCTGGCTGTTTAGGAAGCAGTTAATACTAAACCATTTTGTATTAGCATCTTCAGATTCTGATAAATAGGGAAGCTCTACAGGGGTTTGGCTCTGGCTCCTGAAGGGTGAATTTTAGAAGAATTTGTGTCTCCTAACTTTGGGGATGAGGCAGTAGAGAATTTCATATCTAGCCAGAGGCTCTTGGGTTTTGCAATGCAGTTCTGATGCTAACTACTCAGAGTAGTACAAAGGTCACAGATTAAGGGCACAGTCTCCCACAATACTGTCCTCACTTCAGACACTAACTGCAAGCTATGGGGCTCTCAGGCCACTCATGATTTGGACAACTAACCCTACAACCACTAATCCCTCAGGTTCTATAATTCACTAGGACAAATTACATAGCTCAGGAATGTGCTGTACTTACAATTACAGTTTTATTATAGCAAAGGGATACAAATCCAAACCAGTGAACAGGAGAGGCACATAAGATAAGGCCTAGGTGGGTCCTAAACAAAACTTCCATGTTCTCAGGACATGTTAGCTTTCTGGCACATTGATGTATACCAACAATCAGGAAGCTTGTCCAAGCTTCATTGTCCAGAGTTTTTATTTAGGTATGATTGAATAATCCACCATGTGATTGAACTCAATCTCTACTCTGCTCTCTCCTCCCCTGAGGTCAGGCTGCTAGTACCTGGCTCAAAGCCCTAACCCTCTAATCACATGGTTGGCCCTTCTGGCATGGTCTCCTTCATCCTGAGTGATCTCATTAGCATAAATTTAGGTATAATCCCAAGGGCGCACTAAGAATAACAAAGACACTCCTGTCAGGAAATTCCAAAGATTTAGAGACTCCTTCCAGGAACCAGCAACAAAGTCCAGTCCAATTCTTCATTATGTAGTAGGTCTGGATGTAAAATCACTTCTGATAAATATTTTGTGGTCAGATCAATTGGCTATCTACAAGGAGATTTCCCAGGAGGCATCACCTATGCCAAGCTTCCCCCAAACTAAATGCTCATCAAATAGACATTGGTAGCAAGAACTGTCATCATCTGCATTTGATAATTTCTTATAAATGTGTTTCCTTGGCTCTTATGAAATTATAGGAGCAGAGAAACTGTTCATGTTAATGAGTATATACTTCACTGGTGTTTTCTATCTAGTTGTGCTATCAATAACAAATGGCAAACATGATATTCTAGGCAATAAATAAATAGGGTCCTGACTTTAGATAAACTTGTGGTATATTGAAAGAGTTGTCTTGGCAACAGCACATTGTAATCTGAAAAAAAAAATGCTGTAATAAGAGCTACAACGATGAACACAGACAAGGAAACATCACAGAGAAGCACAGGTTAAACTGAGCCTTAAATAGATGAGTAGAATTTTAACAGGTGGACCTAGGTATGACATTTCAAATAATTAGGATTCCTGTCTAGTTCCATGATTAGCTTCTTATCCCCCAATAAAATTGATGTTACTTAAAGAGGAATGAGGCATGCTTCTTCCATTCCTTTGAACGTTTTCAATAAGAAGTCTAGATTTTTTTTTCTGTTCCCAGGACTCTCCATTTACTTTAGTCTGTCTCATCCTTCATTTCATGGGAAATCGGTAGTGCTCACTGAGGAGTTGCAGTTAGAACTCAATTCTTGAAACTAGTTGAGAGGAGATGCACACACAGTATACTTAGAGATAATCCAAACTTTGTGCTTAGTCTCTCTCTCTCTCTCTCTCTCTCTCTCTCTCTCTCTCTCTCTCTCTCTCACACACACACACACTACCTCTGTGTGACCTTCCCGCCCCACACTAGTCTCACCCCCTATCCCCTGGAGGTGAACCCTAGGTGTTATAGATGATTGTTAGCTGCTAATGGGCATGAACTGTCCCTGGGTGATTTATCACCTGCCCTGGCCAGTACTTTCAAGAAAGACATTGGGCAGTGGCTCTTGCTCTAAAGGCATGCCCTTAAGGAGCCCTGACTTTCTCTCTTTTCCTAACTCTTCCCACACTTCTCAATTTCAGGTTTGTGGGCCGACCTGGAAGCTATGTTTATGTGTTCAATGGTTATCGCATGGAAGAGGTAAGTATGGCTAGCCACTGGTGTTTCCTGCCTGGCTAGTGGTTTACAGGGGCACCCACCACTCCCAGCCTCATCCGTATCCCCATTGCACCATGTCTGGATTCATGCCCTTGCTCCTTTGAGCTCACTTGGTCTAACCACTCCTTCTATTGTCTTTTCCTCTCTGCAGTGTGCTCCTGGGGGCTGCCTCATGGAGCTCTGCATTCAGCTTAGCATCATCATGTTGGGGAAGCAGCTGATCCAGAACAATATCTTTGAGATTGGAGTACCGTATGTAACGAATGCTTCTCATCTCCCTCCTTGCTGCCAGGGCCTAGCTCAGCGGGGCCGGACTTTCAGCAGGATTTTCATGGCCTCTCCTCTTCTCAGTTAGCTGGGCTATTTTTCCTTTGTCTGCTTGCCAATAACTTTCCCCATAAGGTAGGGCTCCTCTCACAGCCTTGTTTGCCAATCTGATTTGGGATGTTTGAGGTTCAGAACAATTAAGCACTTCGTTAAGTACACATAAGCAGCAAGGGGCAGAGCTAGGAGCTGGATATCTTTGACCTCAAGCTGTCTAATATTTTAATGCTATCTGTTCTCCCAGTGAACAAGTAAAAGAGATGTTCAGTATGGTGGGTAGGTGAATATGAAAGTTTGAAACATAATGTAACTGTTTAGAAAAATCACTAAGAAAGTGTGGAATATATGATCTTAGGAGGAGAAGGATGCATAGCTGGTGAAATGTAGAATGAATTTTCACATGGATTCTCTCTCCCCTCCCAATTGGGTTTATACAGATTTTATAGAAGGATGACTTTCAATTAAGTTTTACATTGAGATAGTGATGAGAATAAACACTAACTCACAGACATGAGGCCTAAAGAAAAGAAGATGGAGCAAATGAAAATCTTCCTTCAGGTCAAAGAAAATGTAACTTGTTTTGCCCTTCATTTATATTGCTTTATGGTGTTTACAGAAAAATCTGTTTCAGGGAATATTTTCAGGCAGAAAAGCATCAAAATAGCCAGGGAATGACAGAAATGACTGGGGTAGCACTTACAGGCTGGGCCAATTCTGTTTAGGAGGCCAGGATGGACAATTTGTACCAGGCCTGGAGATCTTTGCAAACCCCTTGCAAGATTAACTGTTGCAGGATGCAATAGTCAGTCCCCATGGGGTTAGCTAACAATACTGCCATACCCTTTTTCTCTCCCTTAGAGATTGACTATGCATATTGTATCGGTGGTTCTGAGAAGTCCTGCTATAAAACAAAAACACTTGTTTAATCCCTTCCTTTCCAAATGTATTTGTTCATGTTATTGGCCATCTTAGTTGTGGACATTGGGATCCACTCTGGCTAGTTCAGGAAGCAAAGGAATTGAAGAACAACTAGCTAACAGAATATTCCTTACAGGTCAGAGAGCCAGGCTCTGAGGTACATAACAGCATAACAGTATCCACACGGCAAGAAGGCTTGAAGGAAATACCACTGCTTTCACTTCTTGGCTCACATGACTCAGATATTAAAAGATGAGAACTGTATACTGAAGAGTCATACCCACAGAAGTTGCAGTCTGAACTTAACTAGCTGTCTTCATCAGCTCAGGCTGCTACAACAAAAAAGCACAGACAAGGTGGCATAAACAACACACATCTCACTGCATGCTCACTGACCTCTTCTTCGTGTGCATGTGGAAAGAGTGAGAGCTCTGGTGTCTCTTCCTCTTCCTATAAGGCAGTGGTTCTCAACCTTCTGGCCCTTTAAATACAGTTCCTCATGTTGTGACCCAACCACAAAATTATTTTCATTGCTCCTTCATAACTGTAATGTTGCTACTGTTATGAATCGTAATGTAAATATCTGATATGCAGGATGGTCTTAGGTGACCCCTGTGAAAGGGTCGTTCGACCACCAAAGGGGTCGCAACCCAAAGGTTGAGAACCGCTGCTATAAGGGCACTATCCCATCACAAGGGCTCCCTCATCCTGACTTCATCTAAACCTAATTACCTGCCAAAGGTTCCACCTCCTACTACCATCATGTTGGGAATTAAAGCTTCAACATATGACCCTGGCAGATTTGGCTCAGTGGTTAGAGTGTTGGCTTGTGGACATAAGGGTCATAGGTTCAATTCCTAGTCAAGGATACATACCTCAGTTGTAGGTTCTCCAGCACCAGTAAGGATACATGCAGGAAGCAACCAATTGATGTGTCTCTCTCATGTCGAGTTTCTCTCCCCCCAACCCCCCCAAAATCAATGGAGAAAAATCCTTGGGTGCGGATTAAAAACAAAAATTCAACATATTACTTTTGGAGGGGATACAAACATTCAATCTATAACAACAGCCTGTCTGTTTTTCTTTCAACCTAAGCACAAGATTTGTATGCAATCAAATTTTTAAAATTTAAAAATTCATATATGAAATGGTCCTTGTCTTCTCAGAGCTTACATATTAAGTCCGGGAGACAAAAGAAAGTATGTGAGTGGATGCTTTCTGTGTGGTGTAAACTCTGTTAGAATTCAGAGTGAATAAAGGTCAGGGATTTGGGAGCTGTTAGAGAAGTCTTCCTAAGCTGAGGATTTCTTCCAGGCTGTGTCTGTCTATTGAAGAAGGCTGCCACCATCATTTGTAACAAGATGGTCTGCAATTATTTTGTTTAAAGAAACAATTTCTCGCCAAAACCGGTTTGGCTCAGTGGATAGAGCGTCGGCTTGCGGACTGAAAGGTCCCAGGTTCGATTCCGGTCAAGGGCATGTACCTGGGTTGCGGGCACATCCCCAGTGGGAGATGTGCAGGAGGCAGCTGATCGATGTTTCTCTCTCATCGATGTTTCTAACTCTCTATCTCTCTCCCTTCCTCTCTGTAAAAAATCAATAAAAAATATATTTAAAAAAAAAAAAAAAAAGAAACAATTTCTCTTGAGTGAGATATCTTTTCTAAACAAACAACAGACTGACTCAGACTTATCAAAACCACCTCCTCACCCAGGTGGTGCTACAAATTGGAGAAAGTAAGGCTCATGGCGATGGCAGCTCTCTGATCAAAGTCTCAGAGCCATGGCAAGGGCAAGAGCCCAGAATCTCTCTAAACCTGTTGAAAGGTTGCTGATTTCTTGAGCTGAATGGAACCATTAGAGGACATAAGATCCAACTCCTTTCTCCATGGAAAACTGCCTCTATGGGGGCTGTAACTGTCTGAAAGTTCTCCTGAGAATATTATTCTTTGGTCTTCCTCAGAAACACACTTACAGAGCTAAAGTTATCATGGAGAAAAACGTCATTTACCTGGAGACAAAACCCTTTATAGTGAGAGCTCTACTTCAAGGAATGAGAATACTCAACATTCCTACATAAAACTTTACGATTTCAGTTCTCAGAACAGATCTTAGCATCACCGACTATTAATTAGACTGAATGCTTTGAATGGTTTCCTGTCCCTACACTAGGACCACCTCAGGTGGCCCGCTGGCACATGCTTCTCTTGGAGGAGGGTTGGTGAAAGCATTGGTATCTGGGCGCCTTATTCTACCTCCCTGCTTAAGCTAGCGGCCCTCTAGGCATCAGACAGGAAGTCATCAATCTTGAGGAACTGAACCCTCTGAAGCTGTTCCCTGTTTTCCAGCTTTCTGATTAAGAGTCAGTGATAGTCATCAAGCAAAGCTGGTGAAACACATGGTTGCTGTTCTCTAGGAGTTTACCATCTCAGACAGACCACAGTTGTTATGGACAAATACCCAGAAAATATGTAGACCAAAAAAAGATGTACCAAAGCTACATCTTGCCCCTGGGCAGCTTTGAAACCAGCCCCTCCATCACTGCTACAAAGGAAAGTCTACATTCCCCCTCAACATCTGGGGAAGACATCTGCCCTCCCAGTACATTGTTGTTCTGTTCTGGATGGAATTGTATATAGCTTGTGGGCACGAGATGCCCATTTTTCATTTTTGGACATCTGCTCTACCATTTAGCCTTCTCACTCTGGACCCAGCAGCCTTTGATAGAGTGTGAGAGGGGCAAGAACTTAGGCATATGTTTGGGCAGTGTGTTGGTTTGTTCCCCAATCAATCAACTCCATCAGCTCCATAACAGATGAAACTAACACACGACTGTTTGCCTTGAAGGCTAAATTTTCTGACTTATGCTTGATGTATGTTTAATATGCTACAGTTAATTGATGCTAATTGCATAGTAACTCATAAAGCTGTGGGCATGTCACTGCTCTAAGCCTCACTGTCCTCATCTTGTGATGAAAATGACAGCATTATAACCATCTCTCAGGTGCTCTCATTTCAGCTCAGACATTCTGTAAACCTCTCCTCTAGTCAATGAAGCTAGTCACTGGTAATTCCAAACACATGTTTTTGTTTCAAAATATTTTTTCTCATTTCAGTTTCTAATTTGCTAAAGGACACACCCAACATAATTATGTAGTTAAATTTAGGGATATAGAACAAAAAATTCTTCCACCAAACCCTAAGTATTCTATCTCCAAAGCTCTTTATAATTCTACAGGTTGTATTTTGAGTTTGGTCACATGAAATAACTATGATTATGATTTATGGACCTTCCATTTTCTACTCAGAACCTACTCTGAATAAATTAGATCCATCCAATCCAGGGTTCAGCACCTGGCAATATCCTTATGTGTGACACAGTTGAAATGAGCAAGAAAATAAAAAGGAGTCTTTTATAGTCCTAAGAGAAATGACAGTTGAGCCTAACCATGAAGAAGGAACAGTGTAAATTATAAAAATTAGACCCAAAGGTCTTTAGCCCTTTGATGGAGACAGTATAATATACTCACTGCATGACATCAGCAAAGTTATTCTAGAAAAATTTGTGTCTAACACAGTTATGTGAAAATACAGCCTGGATATATGCTCAGCTCTCTAGAAAATGGAAAATATGGACATCTGAGAAAGGAAGAACCATTCTTTGGGATTCCAGGTTGCTAAGGTGTTGCTGAATGTTATTGCTTATATGTTCACATGTGATGCTTGTAAGTATTTCAAGTCCTGGGAGTAGACTGAAAAGAGCAACTCAGGAATACAATTTTCCTCTTCTGTTCTGGGCCCAGTGGCTTTTGGTTCAAAATGTAGCTCTCATGTACCTTCAGAACCTGCCTAAAAGTTTTTCCTCAAGGGATATAAATATTAATCTTAGAGAACAGACTTGATTTTTTTATAAAGAAGCAAGTCTGAGGAGTTAGGCAGGTGATCATGCTAGATAAGAATATTTGGGGTAAAAAATATAAGATTATACAGTTGTAAGATTGACTGTCCATAG